TTTTTTTTTGTTGCATTTGACTTATGTGCCCTTTAGAAGTTAAAAATGTTTTCCTTGCTTTAAAAAGAAGATTTCCATTGCCCACCCTCCCCCCGAAGTGGGCCTTATACCCATCACATGCACAAAATTAGGCAGTTCAGCCCTTCACTGCCTCGTTCCAGAGAGTTAGTGCTCTCGTTTGTGTTGAGTCTTGAATAGCAAAGGGTACAGCTCAGGCACGGACTTCATTTCAATTCATTCCAACAAACCTGTGCTCTAATGCTGTACAAATAAGCCTGCTTTTTTGCCGTGACCTGTGGATTTGCATCCCCAAAAGAGAACACATTCAAATCAATTTCAAAATACACTGATGATAGTGAGATAGCTACAAGAGACCCTCAGAAAGAGGCAGGCTTCATTTAGTAGCCACGGAGTGGAAACCAGCCAGATGCACTTGTGTATTTGCTAGTTAATCAGCATCTTTTCATTGAATTCTGGAAGAGGAACCACTTTATAGATAATTATCTTTGTTAATCAGGCCTTCCTAGGATGATGGAGTATTTAAGCCTTGTTCCTTGGTACAGATCATGTGTAATTGCTTCCATACTGTTGGCAAGACAGCTGTAGGAGTTTTGCATGCACTGTAAGTACCCAAGGTCTTTGAGGCAATGTCTTTGTATAAACAACGCACATTTTTATGGCTATAGTTGAGTTGAGTTTTTTAAAGAGGCTTTAAATCGATCAGGAGTTTTCCCTTTGGGTTTCTGCTCAGGAGAGCGGAGGTGGTGGTGGTGACGGAGTAACATGAGAGGCCCAGGGCCCTTTCATCTTAGGCTGAATCCTGGCCCACTGCTGCTTGAGGATTTGGAGTGTGTAAAAGTCCTGGGCTGTTTAATTATGTGCAAGCCTTTTAAGAAGCCTGCACCAGGAGGGCAGAGATGGAAACATATGCAGTGAAACATTTTCTATCCAATTTGAGGATTCGACCAAAGGTCTTCACTTGAGCAAAACCAGAACTTCCAAGTAGATCAAAGGGTAGCGTGGAGTTGAGGAAAACCTCTTTGTTGGGGGTTGAGTGACAATGCCTTAGGAGAATTAAGGTCATGTTAGTTGCATAAAAACAACCTAAGAAGAGTGGAAAACAAAGGAGAAAATTACTCAGCTTTGTGCCACCTAAATTAACCAACCGTATTCCTTTTCTTTAAAGGTGCATGCCATATATGTAAATATGTATACCTATTTTATACGCTCATAATTGTGAAATATATTTGACTTTCAGCTTTCATACTTAACCGTGTGTGATAAGTATTGCTTATCACATTGCCACACGGTTCAATGAAACATTTTAAATGGTTTTGCACTATCCGATAGAAAATCTGTACCATAGTTCATGTAACCAGTCACTAATTATGGAACTTTTAGACTGTGTTCAAGTTTTTCATTATAAGACGTATAAGATGAACAGGGTGCTATATATATAGATATTTCTTTGGGCTTATTTTCATAGAATTCCTTTCACAATCTGGGGTTACGGGGACAGCGAGCCTCAACATGTTAAAATCTTTTTGTTAAAAATGGATCATTGCTGGGGCGCCTGGGTGGCTCAGTCGGTTAAGCGTCTGACCTCAGCCAGGTCACGATCTCACGGTCCGTGAGTTCGAGCCCCGCGTCAGGCTCTGGGCTGATGGCTCAGAGCCTGGAGCCTGTTTCCGATTCTGTGTCTCCCTCTCTCTCTGCCCCTCCCCCATTCATGCTCTGTCTCTCTCTGTCCCAAAAATAAATAAACGTTGAAAAAAAAATTAAAAAAAAAAATGGATCATTGCTTTCCTCAAGTGTGGTGCCATTTTTACACTTCCTCGGCATTGGATAGTATATGAATTCTTTTTCAAGCCAAATGAATATTATTTTTGGAGAAAAGACAAGACCTTGCTTCAGAGTTGGTTCTCCTATAATATCCACCAACTTATCACGCACACACACACACAAATGTATTCTAGGAAAAAAAGACATTCCTCATTGTCGACAAGTGGCTATCATGTTTAAGAAAAGGAGGTCTTAGAAGTTGCATGGCAAACATATTTGCCTCCAACGTGTAACAAATCTGAGACACCTGCGTCTATCTGTCCGCCTCAAAAAATCATAGTTGCCCCTATAAAGTCAATGTCAGAGGGGAGAATAATATGGATTCTCAGCTCCCGAGAGAATGCTCAGCTGCTGAGAGAAGCCTTTGTGCAGATTCCTATGAAGGTTCAAACTTTTGGAAGAATTGCAGTGGCTGAGACCAGGCTTGAGTTTATTTCAGGTTGTTGGGGTGTGTGGCCAACTGGAAAAAAATGACCCCGCTCCCCTGCTGGACTGGCCTCTCTCACATTACCTTTCTTCTCGTGCACACACTATCTATACGTAGATAGATTCGCTGCCTTCCCCTGCTGAATCCCGCATTTGCCCCCGGATCCGTTTCATTTCAGGTACTGATCTACAATGGCCAACTGGACATCATTGTGGCAGCCTCCCTGACAGAGCGCTCTTTGATGGCCATGAAGTGGAAAGGATCCCAGAAATACAAGCAGGCAGAAAGAAAAGTCTGGAAGATCTTTAAATCCGATAACGAAGTGGCCGGTTATGTGCGGCAAGTGGATGACTTCTGTCAGGTATGGAAACACTTTGGGACCTGTAAGCTGTGAGGAATGGGATGGGCGGATTGGAACTAAAGCCTGAGTACCAATAAGGCATGGCTGACCCTACACAGAGTCACGCAGTAGCCAAAGTGTGCCTTCTGCAGCCCTACTTTCCAGAGAGCAGGGTGGTATGAGTTCATTCAAGTACATAGTGCCTCATGCAAAACAGGAGGAAAGTGTAGATAATTGTTCAAGAGACAAGGTGACGATCAAAAAGACCATACTCAGCCCCAAAAGGCAAATCGTTAATGAGAGATTTAGTCTATTTGGGAACAAAGGAGAGCTTGAACAAACAACCTGAGTTAGATTCAGCGTAATCTCTTCTGGCAATTCTGTGCTCACATTTGTGTCTTACACATGGAGCCCCACGACAAAATCTGTCTATCTGATGCCCCCAGCGTGACCTCCACTTTAGAGGTCAGATGTTGCTCCTGGTGAAGCCCATCTACTGTGCCTCTAGTTTGCAGGTCTCAGCTTCTCAAGGATCAGCAGGGCTCCTTTGGTGACTATGTGATGATTACACTATTTACCTCCAGAAAGTTTTCGGAGAAATTAAGAATGTCCCCTAGTAAGCTTTTGCTTAGTTAGTCAAGAGAAGAAATTTAAATCTTCCAGACTAGTTTGATTTTTTTTTGAGAGAGAGAGATAGAGACAGCGTGAGTAGGGGAGGGGCAGATACAGAGGGAGATGGAGAATCCCAAGCAGGCTCTACACTGTGAGCGCGGCACCCTATGTGGGGCTCGAACTCACTCACAAAACTGTGAGATCATGACCTGAGCCAAAACCAAGAGTCGGACGCTTAATGGACTAAGCCACCCAGGCACCCCTTCACAATTTTCTTCTAAAGTTTATTTATTTATTTTGAGAGAGAGAGAGAGAGAGAGAGAGAGTGCATGTGTGAGTGGGGGAGAGGAAGAGAGAGAGACTCCTAAGGCAGTTCCACACTGTCAGCACAGAGCCCAACCCGGGACTGTATCTTACAAACTACGAGATCATGACCTCAGCCAAAATCAAGAGACCGATGCTTAACGACTGAGCCACCCAGGTGCCCCTTTCCTCAATTTTTTATTTGAGGCAACAATGGGACCTCAATTCTATAGGTTTGAATATTTGGAATTACAGCTTTCCAAGTACCCGAGCTTACCACTAGGCAAATCCATGCTCCAAATAAAAATTAATCTCAGAGGAGTGCCTGGGTGGCTCAGTTGGTTAAGCATCCAACTTCGGCTCAGGTCATAATGTCACAGTTGGTGAGTTTGAGCCCCACATCCAGCTCTGTGCTGACAGCTTGTTGCCTGGAGCTTGCTTTGGATTCTGTGTCTCCCTCTCTCTGCCTCTCTCCTGCTCGTGCTCTGTCTCTCTCTCTAAAAAATAATAAACAAACATTAAAAAAAGAAATTAATCTCAGAGGCTTACTGGGTACTTTGGGATAGTAAAAAAGAATTTCATAAGGGTCACTGGGTTATGATATACATTTGTGTTGGAAGGAATGATAGATCAAGTAGAAATTACTGGTAGTCTAATGTATAAAGATACTTTCCTTCCCCCGCCCGAGTCATTCTAGCCATTGAATAACGTAAGAAATTTAAATATCTTGTAACGTTGACTACCTGGGACAAAGGAAATGGTAGAGAGACATATTTCTGGGCTCACGTAAAGGGAAACTATGTTGGAAAATTTATAACATTATAGTTTCTAGATCAAGATAAATTACACCAAAGAATTAAAAACCAGTGCCGTAGCAAACGGAATGAGTCAGAGTAGAAACAGTTCCGACGGAATGCATGTGAGGTTTGAAACCGAGGGGGGGGGGGCGGGAAGGATGAAGAGTGGAGGGTCTGTTGACCTGCAGAGGGATTTGGAGATAAGACGGTGAGAGCTGTGTCTATCCTGTGTGCTTCTGTAAACTGGAGCACAGGCAGTCTTGGACTGGATATTGACTTGGGAACCACAATAGCAGGTTAACTCTGAAGACTGATTCCAAAAGATTGGAATTCCGGGACAAGTGGAGGCTCTCCATTTGCAGAAAGTAATCTGGACTTCATTTTTGGTATTTATTTGCTGTCTTTAAATAACAGGTTCTATAGCAATCCAATTCCTTCTTTTTAAAAGAGAAAAGAAAAAGTCAACGTTTCAACGTCTGAAATTGCATTTTAATTGATGCCCATGTACACAATTTTACATAAATTTTACGTAATTTTAACAATGTTATATAAGATTGATTCTGCCGTGTTTCTTTCTTATAATAAAATTATTTATTGAGTTACAGCATAATATAGAAAACATTCACAAGTCACAAATGTATAGGTAAATGAATTTTCACAGAGCAAATGTATAGGTAAATGTAACCATCACCTAGATAAAGAAATAGAATAGAGCAATGTCCCCACTGTAGTCACTATTCCCCCTTCTTCCCAGAGTATCCACTGTCCTGAGTTCTAATATCCGAGGTTACTTTTGCTAGATTTTGAATTTTGACAAATGGACATATTCTCTATATGCCCTTTCTGTGTGGCATTTTTGCTTGACTTTATATTAATGACATTTACTTATTCTTTTGCATGTAGCAGTTGCCACTTTATTTTCATTGTGGTACAGTGTTCTAATATATATTTTTATATTATTATAATATGTAATATTATATGATTATTATTTATAAGTAATATATATTTAACATATGATTTTTCTATTCTCCTTTTACATCCATTTTTACTTTATTTATTTTGTTATTAAGTGCATATAACTTCAGAACTGTTATACTTTCTTGGCAAATTAAATCTTTTATTCTTATGAAATGTCCCATTTTATGTCTAGTGATGCTTCTCGCCCTAAAATCTAATTTGGTGATAGTAGGGTAACAATGCCAACTTCTTTTTGATTAATATTTGCATGGGATATCTTTTTCAATGCTTTGATTTTAATCTTTCTGAATGCTTATATTTAAGATGTATCTCTTTTAAGTAGTGTATAATTGGGTTTTGTTTTTCTTTAATGGAGCCTGACAATATTTTTTAAATGAGATAGTCCATTTACATTTAGTGTAATTACTGATATATTTGTGTTTAAATCTACTACTTTACTGTTTATTTCCTATTTGTCTTATTTGTATTTCAATGTTCTCTTCCTCATTGTGTCCTTTAATATTACTCAAATGTTTTATATCATTTTCATTTCTTTCCCTATTCTATAAGCTTGTCAGGGTATACATTCTGTAATCTTGTTTAATGATTATACTCAAGGGTAAAATGTAAATTCTAGACTTATTCAATCCTAATATAAATTAGAATTTTACCACTTTCCAGATAAATGCAAGAACCTTAGATCTTCCTTGCCAACTCTCCTCCTTTTTGTGTTATCATTAAAAACAGTACGAAAAGGGGGGGGTGGCGCCTGGGTGGCTCAGATGGTTAAGCGTCTGACCGGCTCAGGTCATGACCTTGCGGTTTGTGAGTTGGAACCCTGCATTGGGCTCTGTGCTGACAGCTCAGAGCCTGGAGCTTGCTTTGGATTCTGTCTCCCTCTCTCTGGCCCTCTGCCACTCATACTCTGTCTCTCTCTCTCAAAAATAAATAAAACATTAAAAAAATTAAAAAGCAAAAAATATTCTACATGTAATTCAAACACCACAAACCGTTATTTGCATCATGTTACACAACCAGTGTCACTGTGACTTACCCATAAATTTACCCATTCAGTTGCCCCTTAGCGTTTCTTGCATTTCCATGCTTCAGACTGGAATTATTTTTCCTTGCTTAAAAAAAAAAAATCTCTTTATTATTTACTTTAGTAAAGTTGTGTTGGCAGCCATTTCTATTGTTGGTTGTCTGAAAATGTCTTTGTGTCACCTTTAATTGAGAAGTACATTTTTCATGGAATTGAATTTTAGCTAGGCAGTTATTGTCTTTCAGCACATAAAAGATATTACTCTGTTGTCCTCTGACTTGTATCACTTCTGATCAGAAGCTGTCCATTTTACTACTGCTCCTTTGGAGGTGGTTTCTTTTTCCACCTGACTACTTTTAGGATTTTCTCAGTTTTTGGTTTTCAAAAGATTTGACTATGTGTATGTAGCTGTGATTTTAAGTGTGGTGTGTGTGTGTGTGTGTGTGTGTGTGTGTGTGTGTGTGTGTGTGTGTGTGTTATACGGGTTTCTTAAGCTTTTTGAAACTATAACTTGATATCTTTTGTCATATTTGTCATTATCTCTTCAAATCCTGCTTGTTCTCTGTTCTCTCTTTCCTCTCCCATGAAGACCTAATTATGCGAACATTAGACCTTTTCATTTCATCCCATATAGCTTTATTTCTGTTCTTTCTTCTTTCCATTCTTCAGTTTTGATATTTTCAATTCTCTCTTCTAGTTTTCTGTTCTTCTCTGCTGCTATTCCGGATATATTATTTAGCCCATTTATTTTTTAATCATGGCAATTGGTTTTTTTATAGTTCTGGAATTTTAGTTTTATTCTTTTTTATAGATCTCAACTTTCACATTATTATCTATTCCTCACCTTGTTATCTATTTTTCGGGAACACATTAATCCACTTAGTTTGATGCCCATTGCTGATAAATTTTAGGTTTGTATCACCAATTAGCCTGACTCTCTTTTTTCATGGTAACCGGATCCTTTTCTCTGGTATGCCTACAAGTTTTCAAGTGAATGTCAGGCATTATGCAGGTAGAATTATAGAGATAGTTTGAGTTTGTGGCTGATGATACTTTCCATCAAAGAGATTTTACTTTGCTTCTGTCAGGCAGTTAGAATAGGGGTCAAGCACTTTGATCAAGTCTGGAATTGATTATATTTAAATCTGTATGTTAGCTGGTCTATTTCCATGGTCCTAAATTGACATTTGTAGTGTTAACCAGGGCCTCTGCTCTTTGGCAGCCTATGAACACCAATTTTTGTCTCCCCAAAGTTCCAAGCAGGTTTCCAGCCTCTTATCTATTCCTTTAATAAAGGTTTTGTAGCCTCTTGGCCCTGAATCAACCATTGCTTTTATGGTGAAAGGACCACAGGATATCCGATTAGCTTTTTGCCCTCCTCTCTACTTTGTAAGCCTGGCCCCTTATGGTAGTCAGAATAATGGTTCCCCAAAGTAGCCCTTCTAATCTCTGGAACCTGTCAATATGTTATATCATATGGAAGAAGGAATTAAGGCTACATGTGGAAATAAGGTTGCTAATCCTCTGACCCAGAGATGGGAAAATTATTCTGGATTATCCAGATGGACCCAATGCAATTACAAAGATCCTTGTAAGAGAATGAGGGAGGAGGCACTTGGCTGCCTTAGTTGGCAGAGCATGAGATTCTTAATCTTAGGGTCATGAGTTTGAGCCCCATGTTGGGGATATAGTTTACTTACAAAAAAATAAGTGAGGGGTGCCTGGGTGGCTTAGTCAGTTAAGCATTCGACCTCAGCTCAGGTCATGATCTCGCAGTTCATGAGTTTGAGCCCCATGTCAGGCTCTATGCTGACAGCTCAGGGCCTGGAGACTGCTTCAGATTCTGTGTCTCCCTCTCTCTGCCCCTTGCCTGCTCACACTGTGTCTCTCACTCTCTCTCTCTCTCTGAAAAGTAAATAAACATTAACAAAAATTTTTTTAAGTACAAGTGAGAGGCTGATGAGTCAGAGCCAGAGATTTGAGGATGATACACCGCTGACCTTGAAAAGAGCAAAAGCAACCGTGAGCCAAGGAGTTCAAGCAGCCTATAGAAGCTAAAAAAAAAAAAAAAAAAAAAAAGACATTGATAGAGGCTCTATCCTCTAGAGCCTCCAGAAGGAACAGAACTCTGCCAACATCTTGATTTTAGTCCATCAAGACCATTTTGGACTTCTAACCTTCAGGATTACAAGAAATGTGTGTTGTTACAAAGGCACTGAATATGTGGTAATTTGTCACAGCAACAATGGGAAACTCACACACGCCTCACATCCTGGCTGCCTTGGTAGATCACCATGACTTTTAAATGGGCGTGTTCTGTATTTTGTCCAGCTTTTCTAGTTTTCATCGTTGGTTTTGGTTTTTTAGCAGGAGGATTGAGAGCAACAAATTTTTTTTGCCAAGACAGGAAGTGGCAGTTGTTGCTCTCTTCTTTTAATGTATCAGATTTTATATCAAATATATCACATTTTCAGAGTTATGGCATAAATTCTTAACTTATCTTTAAGTAATATTCCGTTGAATGGATGTAATTAATTTTCCAAACAATCCTCTTCTTGTTGGCCTTTTAAGAGTGTTTGTTGTTGTTGTTATTATTATTGTTATTTTCTAACAAATATGTGTTTCAGTAGTTCTGATCAGTCGAAAAACACACTATAATTTTTTTGTGTGTGCAAAATAACAAAAGATAGGAAGGAACAGAAGATATACCAACCAAAGACAGGAGTTATAAGGGTGGGTTCATCATTTATGTTCAGTAAAGATAAAGTAGCTTTGCTTCTTGAGCACGTGTGCTGGACATTGTGATTGGCGCTTCGTGGATATTACCAGAACATCCTTGCAAATCATACAGTGTCATTTCCATTTTACATATGAGGAAACAGACCCTGAGAAGGTTAGCAACCCTGTATCATCCAATGACAGGAAGGGGATTCAAACTTTATTCATTTTGTTCCCATAGCGCGTTTGCCAATGTCTGTCATATTGCCTCTGATATTTAATTGCCAGTCGGGTGGGGAATGTTAGCTCAGTAGAAGGGAGGTTCTCAGGACAAAAAAAGACTCCTTTATGTAATTTTTTCATGTGCTTGAAAGGTATTTGTTAAGCTTTCTTTAGGTGCAATATAAAAGAGTTACTTACTGAAACTCATTAGGTTCTGAAGTTACCTCCAGCAATATTTGAGCACAATGTTCTAAAAAATAGGGATAATAATAATAGTTACCTGCTGTGGACTAAATTGTGTGTCTCCTGATTCATATGTTGAAGACCTAACCTACAATGTGATGATATTTGGAGATAAGACCTATAAGGAAGTCGTTAAAGTTAAATGAGGTTGTAAGGACAAGGCCCTGATTCTATGGGGTTAGTGTCCTTATAAGAAAAGACACCAGGGGCGCCTGGGTGGCTCAGTCAGTTGAACATCCGACTTTGGCTCAGGTCATGTTCTCACGGCTTGTGAGGTCGGGCTCTGTGCTGATGGCTCAGAGCCTGGAGCCTGCTTTGGATTCTGTGTCTCCCTGTCTTTCTGCCCCTCCCTCACTCACACTTGGTCTGTCTCTCACAATAAATAAACATTAAAAAAAAAAAAGAAAAAACAAAACAAAAGACACCAGAGAGCTCACTTGCTCTCCCTCTCTCTGCCACATAAAGACACAGCAAGAAGGCAGCCCTCTACAAGCCAGAAATAGAGCTTACACCAGAAACCAAAACAGCCAGCACTTGGTCTCAGCTCCAGAACTATAAGAAATAAATTTCTCTTGTCTAAGAACAACAGTCTGTGGGGTGCCTGGGTGGCTCAGTCGGTTAAGCATCTGACTTTGGCTCAGGTCGTGATCTCATGGTCCATGAGTTCAAGCCCCACATCAGGCTGTCTGCTATGTGCACATAGCCTGCTTCGGATCCTCTGTCCCCCCTCTCTATCTGCCCCTCCCCTGCCTGTGCTCTCTCTCTGTCTCTCTCAAAATAAATAAACAAACTTAAAAAAAATTTAAAAAAGAACATTCTATGTTATCCTTATAGAATTATTAAGGGAATTCAACAAGTGATTAGCATAGAGCAGAACCTTTTCATAGTAAATGCTTATTATTATTACCCCAAATCACATATAAGAATCTACATAACAAAAGGTAAATTGTAAATAGTAAGTCAAGATCAGGGAAAGTGTTTGATTGAAAATCAACCCTTGGGGGAAAGTTTATTTTATTTTTTATTTTTTTAACATTTTATTTATTTTTGAGACAGGGAGAGACAGAGCATGAACAGGGGAGGGTCAGAGAGAGGGAGACACAGAATCCGAAACAGGCTCCAGGCTCTGTGCTGTCAGCGGGGCTCGAACTCACGGACCGCGAGATCATGACCTGAGCCAAAGTCGGCCACTTAACCGACTGAGCCACCCAGGCGCCCCAGGGAAAGTTTAAATATTAAGATTTAGGCTATTAAGGGCAAACATGAAAGTGGGACTGCTAGGGAGCGATGGACGTGTCCCTTGTCCTCGCCTGCTGCACTGCTTTATGATGACAATCCCACCGGGCACACTCAACACGTCCTCCAGATCCTTGATGGCTGCTTCCGCCCACCTGTGTCTCTGTGTCCCTCAACCAGCCTCGTGAACCACGCCAGCACTTGGCAGTGCCCATGTGACCGGCTTGGCTCGGTGCATAGAGTATCTAGCTTGGGAGGCTACGGGGCAGTGTGCACCACAGAGGTGGGAAAAGGGATTGGCCGCCACTCAGGAACTTGTGACAAATACCCCACTAAACCCCACTGACTCCTCTTGTGAATGCGAAGCACATTGAGCGATGAAATGGCCCTCCTCCGGCTGCCAAAAAGTGGTAACAAAAGAAGCAAGGCCCACATGTGTTTGTGATAGGGAGTGTTTTACCACACGGCCAGGGATCCGCATTTTATGTAGGTGATTTTAAAATGTTGGCAGAACTCCCGCCCCCCTTATGCTTCAGTGTAGGATTGGGGGTGGTGCGCGGAGACGAGGGGAATTAAGGAGGGAAATGAGCTCCGGGGCTAACAAAGGCATTCTCTGTGAGCCTTCGGATGAGAATACCGCCCAAATGTCAAGCGTCTGATAATGAAAAAAACGGGCCTGAGCCACGGACTTGCTTTTCAGCAACAGCAGCGTGTAAATGTGTCTGCCAAGAAAGAAACCTCACTCTTTGCCAGACTCCACAGCTCTTAATTTAAAAATCGAAACCAAAGTAGACTTGTCTCCGGATGGTTGCCTAAAATGTCCGCTTCAGAGGATGACAGCTGTCCCTGGGGAGCAACAGGGTGGAGAGAGCGCCATTCTGCCCACGTGTTCCCGTCAGGCGATGCCTGGGAAAACCAAAGGCAGCTCCAGCCAGCCTGCGGAGATCAGGTGAAGAAGGAGGGCTGGTTGTTGCCTCCTACTCATTCCCTAGGAGGCAGCACGCCTTTGGTATCTACGCGATTCTGAGAATTGGAGACAGCCGTATTACATCATCTGGGGCAGTGGGCTTCTCTCAGTTTGTTCATCTGTAAAATGCAAGGTTTGGACTGAGTTATCTGTAAGATATCTAAGAAAGATCTGAAATACCTATTTTTCATTAATGCCTAGAAGGGCTCAGTTAGCAAGCAACATAGAATAGTACAGTGACCTTCAGTGTGTGTGTGTGTGTGTGTGTGTGTGTGTGTGTGTGGACTTAATAGTGTTACAGTGTAGACCAAAGGTCTAATCTTCTTCTCCTTGGCTGGTGACAACCCATGGCCACCTGTTGCTCCTTTTGGGGTCTTTCTCCACCCTTCTCCAAAAGTCGGTTACTGTTCATGATCTGTGAGCATGCTGTCACTGCTTTTGAAATGCGGGCTATTTTGTTATTACGCTATTTTGTTTTTATACCATTGAATTGTCATTTTCACCCTAAGGAAGTTTTGACTCCACATTTAGAAATATAAAATTTTAAGCAGAATAACACTGGTGAATTTCTTTAAGAATATCTTTCTAAAATAAACTTCAAAGGGGTGCCTGGGTGGCTCCGTTGGTTAAGCGTCCTACTTTGGCTCAGATCACGATCTCTCAGTCCTTGAGTTCAAGCCTCGCGTCTGGCTCTGTGCTAACAGCTCAGAGCCTGGAGCCTGCTTTGGATTCTGTGTCTCCCTCTCTCTCTGCCCCTCTCCCGCTCGCTCGCTTTCTCTCTCTCTCTCTCTCTCAAAAATAAACATTAAAGAAAATAAAAATAAATTTCATGAGGCTAAAGTTTCTGAAGAAAGCACTGCAACCATTTCAAATGTTTCCATCTTTATTTCACTGAAAATATTTTATTGAGACTAATTATTTTCCATGTACACATTGAAAGAAAGGGTTGAGTCACCGGTCCATTTTCATTCTTATCAAATCTTACTGGGCATAAGTTTCTGCTAACATGAGTTTTGCAGAATTTCAAACAAGCCTATTTTTCCCGACTGCAATTTGAGTCATTGTTATTTTTATTTCGTATTTTCATTATCAATATCAATTCAGGTTATTTAATAATTACAGGATGGATTGTCTCAGCTAGGTAGCATTTTACAGCCGAAGCAAATTTTAGATCTCATTTTCCAGGTGGGAAAACTGAAGCCCAGGGGTTAAGTGACTGTCCAAAGTCTCCTACCCATTTAACGACTGAGCTGGGATTAGATTCCAGGCCTCCTGGCTTCCAGCCCAGTGGTTTTCTACTTCACAAGGGTACACACCTCTGGAATGATGCATTAGCAGCTGCATGCTAGCACAGTGAAAACTGCCACCTGCATACCTGTCTGCCGTAATTCGAGAAGGCCTGGGAAATCTCACATCTGATGTTTTCACATCTGATGTTAGGTGTGAAGTCACATGCGTGTGCCCACTTCCTATGGACAGAGCATCAGGGTTTTTAACAGGTACTAGAGCTTACTAGGAGGTGAGGTCAGGCTCACCCAATGTTAAGAAGAGTTATGGCTTCATCTGGGAACTTCTGATATTGATAAAAGAACAGATGCTGAAATTAGCTAAAATGAGCAGAGAAAACATGGTAGGCAGAGCCTCAAGGTGGGTGCCTGAAGAGCAGGCCACCAGCAGAGCACACAGCTTACTGGTTTCCAGTCTGGAGCCTGGAGAATGAAAACCAGGAGAGAGACTGGGAAAGGTCCTGTGCCCTCAATGATAGGAAAGTGGTGAGTGCTCCATTGTTGAAGTAGTGGGAGCCCTTGAAGGTGGCTTTTCTTTTTCAATTTTTTTTTCAATTTGTTTAAAGTTTTTTTTTTTTTGTTTTGTTTTTTTTTGAGAGAGAGAGAGAGAGAATGAACATGGGAGGGGCAGAGAGAGGGAGAGAGAGAATCCCAAGCAGGCTCCACACCATCAGCATGGAGCCCAACATGGGGCTCGAACTCATGAACCATGAGAGCATGACCTCAGCTGAAACCGAGAGCTGGACACTTAACCAACTTAGCTACCCAGGTTCCCCTCCAGTTTTTTAAAGTGTCAAATACTAATACCATAAAACTTATCATCTTAACCATTTTTAAATTTCATTTAATTAATTATTTCCTTTTAAGTAGGCTCCACAGCCAACATGGGGCTTAAACTCATGACCCTGAGATCAAGAGTCAACTGAGCCAGCTATTCCCCCCGTAACCCTACCCATTTTTAAGTGTGTTATTCAGTGGTATTAAAAGCTTTCATGATATCGTGCATCCATCACCACCGTCCATCTCCATGGCTCTTTTCATCTCCTCAGCTGAAACTGAAGCTATTGAACATTACCTCCCCACTCCCCAACCCCAGCCCCTGGCCAACCGCTGTCCTACACATTCTACTTCCTGTCTCTGTGAACTGGACGGCTCTAAGTATCTCTAATAAATGGAAACATACAATGTTTGTCACCATGGAAGGTGGTTAAGCACGTTTGCAAAGCTGTCCTTTGGGAAGTTTAAAATGGCAGCAGTCGGATGAATTCAGGGTGGAGAGAGGTCAGGGAAGGGGATCCTGGGAAATAAGGAGTCTTGTAAGGAGCTCTATTGGAAGAAGCTTCTTCACCTATTTCCTGAGCCCAGTGCTTGATTCTGAGGTCCTGAAATGGAGGCTGTGGGGATAAGCTTTGGAATGTTGTGAGGACCGATTGCTGTTTGAGAAGTGGTGTTTACTCTGTGGTCACACCGACTTAAAAGCTAAGTATCCACAGGGAGAGCCTACATGCTGGTGTCATTCTAGTGTTCTCCTTGGGCAGCCACAATAAGCACCACCAGCCCCCTAAAGCACAAGCCCTGAGCCACGATTGCACCTTGACCCTGACCTGAGTGTGTCTTGTGAGAGACCTCAGGCCGGTGGGCTGCCATACTCTCCCCAAGGGCTTCTCCCTGAGTTTTCAACAGGAATGAGACCTTCTGCTGGAGGTTATGTACAGAGAAACCAAAGGCAAGGAGCCCCCCTCGCCCCTCACTGTTTTGGAGACTCGTGACCAATGGAAGGTGGTCTGGTGTCAGGAGAGGAAGGTAGACTCTGGAGCTAGACAAACCTCGTGTGAATTTCTTGCCACTCACTGGCTGGGGGCCCCTTCTGGTGCTGTAAACTCTGAGCGAGAAGGGTGTTGGGAGGGCCCAAGGGAATGGCTAATGACGGCCACCAGTTCTTCCGCATTTGTCAGCGCTCGGGCCCGCGGCCTGTCACACACTTTTTAGCTACCGTTTTACGGAATGCTAATCGCTTCCCTGTAAATTACGTGATCGTACTTACTGGTTTACAAAGGAGGAAACACAAGTTTCACCTGCGCAACGTGCTTAATCGTGGTAGTGGTATTTGAGATCTGACAATATCAAATCGTGGCAGCGTCTGATATTTGACAGGGTCAAAGAGTAGTAATGTCTGAGATTTGATGACCCAAATCTCAACCTTTCCCTTGCGCCACCATGCCTCTAAGTACAGCAGTGAGGGCAGTGTCGGGGGAAGGGATGGGATACTCCTGTTGGCCGGACTAGTCTACACGTCTGGCCTCGGGGTGCGTATGTGATGGTGGTGACAGAGGTGGGGGCGATGGCCAGTATATTTGGCAGTGCATCCGGTCCACGTGGCAAAGTCCGTTTCCTAAAGGAAAGTAGGGTGCTTACAAGAGGGAGGAGGAGAGGGAAAGCATGATGTGCAGACAGAAAGCAGTAAGAACCCCAGCTTCCCAGGTGTGCCCTTCTAAAACTAACATTCACTTTGTTTTATTTCTTTGACTACACACAACTGTCAAACGGAGCCAAGAATAACCACAGTCCTTTGAGTCCAAAGGGAGGCCAGGCTGGGATTGGAACCTTTCCACAGATAATCCACAGAGGGAGTGACAGAGAGCTGGCCATTTGCGTCTCTTGGACTTTCTCCTGACAACTGTTGTTGTTTTGTTTTTTGTTTTGTTTTGTGGTTTTTTTTTTGGAATTTTAAACACCCTAGGGAGCATTAAGAACTATTCCCCAAAGAACTAACAATTCCAGAAAGGGCTTCATCAAGTCCTTGGTGCCCCTAACAAAATCAGAGTAAGCAAAGAGCAACAAATGTGATTTTTTGTGTGTGTTTGACTAGTTGAGAAGGGAGGCGATGAAGTTAAAACAGTATTTAATGGAAGAAAGTAACTGTTAAACAGATTTGAGATGATGATTACCAAATGCAGCTAATTCCCTGGGGACATGTTTTGGCTTTGTTACAGAAATTGTTACCCAGAGTCTTCCTCTCTCTCCCAGCTCTTGTCGCTTTCTACAAAGAGCCCTGTCCTGATTCATAGGTTCTTTGTCTCCATCACTAGATCTGGGAAAAGTTCTGTCCACGCATGGGAATCAGGTGGTGAGCAGAAAACCAGAACATAGCGGTCAAACCACGATGACGGTGATGGCGATGGCGATGGCTTGCTATCATCAGAGAGCTCCATGGTAGTCACGGGCTAAGTTCTCCAGAATCAGGCATTTGGGCCAAGGTTGGGGTATAAGATGCGTATTAGGGATCAATGCCTGTGAAAAAAAAAGGGGGGAGGAAGCAGAATTGACAGAAGAGGAAATCAGACAGTGACGCATGCCTGAGAAACCTTGGCCAACCCGGCAGGGAGCTCTGGAGAGAGTCTTCTTCCATCCACGTCCGACATTGGGCCAAAATGGCCAAGCCTTTAACCCCCCACCTCACTCAGTCACCAAATGCGGGCTGCCCTCGGAAGGGCATCATCTTGGGAAAGGCTGCTGTCTGCAGCTGAGGCAGACCTGAAGGTGCTGACGGCTGGAGGCTGGGAGCTGGTCCATCTTCGAAGGGGGATCTGAGGGTGCCACAAAGGCCACCCAGATAATGTAGTTGTGAGCTCTCAGGGTTGGCAGGGGGAGTGGGGATGGCATCAGAGGCTGGTGGTTTGCCTGATGCCACATGAGATAT